TGTGACGTTTGCCATACTGCAGTCCTCAGGAGCCTCCCCCAATAGCCACGAACTTGGGAAGCCGACAGAGAGAGGCCTTGCAATGACGTCAGCCAGCTCCCTCAGTACTGTCGGATGCTTCTCACCTTGCCCCATAGTTCTGTGTATGTTGTATTTGCTTAACTTGTCCCTAATTTCATCTTCTATGGGGCATACTTCTGTCTTTCAACTCTGTCAGTAGGCATAGGGGTCTCAGAGACCTGAAGAAGAGGCCTTATCAGAAAAAACAAGGCAAAGACGGCACTGAGTACTTCAGCCTTTTCTGTGTCTTTCCTAACTAGATCCCTTGCCCTGCTGAGCAACAGCTCACATTTTCCTTAACCCTCTTTTACTGTCAATGCGCTTATAGTAGCCCCTCCTACACCTCACTGGTTCCAACTCCAACTGAGCTTTTGCTTTCCTAGGTCCATCCCTGCATACCCAGGCAATGTACCTCATGTCTCTGCCTCTGCTTCCAACTTCTACGTATTTCCTTTTTGCGTTTGAGCTCTGTTAGGTGTTACTTGTTTATCCATGCTGGCCTCCTCCCACACATGCTCAACTTTCTGCACACTAGACAGGATTCTTGTACTTCGAGGAAGCTGCGCTTTGGGATCAAGCAGTTCTCCGGTTGCCCATCACAGTCTCCCATAGGATGCTGCCAAGATCCCTGAACAAGCCAAAATCTCTTCTCCTGAATCCAAGGGTGTAATCCTGCTATTTGTCTTCTCACTTCTCCTAGAAGCCTAAATTCAAGCATCTCATGATCACTGCTGCCAAGGCTGCCTTGACCTTTATATCTCTGATCGGTTCTTTTTTGTTCATGAATAGCAGGTCCAATGCAGCACCTCCACTAGTCAGCTCATCATCACCTGTGTCAAGAAATTGCCTTCGACGCATTCCAGAAATCTCCTGTATTGCTTGCCACACCACAAGCTGCCCTTCCAGGATATACCAGATGGTTAAAAAAACAAAAACAAAAAAACCCCATGAGTATGAGGGCCCGCAATCTTGAGGCTTCCTCCAGTTGTTTAAAGAAGGCTTCATCTCCTTCTTCCCTTTGATTAGGTGGTCTGTAGCAGACACACCGCAATGTCATCTTTCCATCCTCTGACCGTTACGCGTAAGCTCTGGGTTGGCTCATCATCCGCCCCAAGGCAAAGCTACAGGCATCTGAGTCACTCCTTTGCAGACAGCACAACTCTCTTCCTTGCTTCCCCACTCTGTCCTTCCTAAAGAGCCCGTCTCCATCCTTTGGAGCAGTCTAATCACACGAGCTATCCCAACATGTCTCCACAATCCCAGCAGCCTCACAGCTCTGCAACTACACACAGACTCCTAATTCCTACTGCTTGTTATCCAAGCTGAACGCTGCTCTTGGCAATATTAATTCACATGCAGGATATTCATTCTTTGACATTTTTTCTTAACTCTTTAACGAAATGGATAAGTCCACTACAAAAAATCTCGGCGTAGCATATTATTGGATACCAGCAGCATGTTTTTTCACTCACTTAAAGCTCTCACCCCTGTGCAGCTCACAAGGATGGCACAAAACACTATCTTCTGCTGTACGCAATTACAAAATTCACTCAGTATACCACATTTACTTAAGAATTTTAAAAGTGCGTCTCGAATGATGTTTTGAAACTGTTCTCTGAACAACGTGGCATATTTGTTTACAGTGTATGATATTTCTTTACAGCGCACTCAGCAATCACTCCTTTTTCTGCTGCCTGAATACTTGTCAAGTGCCTATCACATAGGGGTGACAGGGAACCATCTGCCTTCCTCCCCCAAAGGCTCCTCCTTTTACTTATTACCACCTGTTCTTTTCCAGTCCCCAAATGGCAACTCGAAGCAATGCCAGATACCCTGAAAAAGGCCAGGTTACAGGTCCTGGCTGAATTTTTCAGTCTTGTCGCTACCACTCAACCTCCACAAAGAAAAGCCAAATGTATACATTGCTGAGGTTTTCACAGACACAAGTTCACACAAAATAATGCTGCAAAAATGATGGCAGGGAATAGCTTTTTTATAATTAGTGAGCATATTACTGTATCTGATCCATATGCTGTAAAATTGAGAGGGTCAAATGCTGACCAATTAGGATATAACTGTAAGCAAAAAAGAAAAAGCTGTTTTTGCTTAAAAGGGGCTGGATTTCAAGGTTCCTGAGATTGTCATTTCCAAGTACTTAGACTGGGGAAAGACTAAGTTTCTTCCTTCTCATTGTGATTTGCAGGAGACCCCCACGGAGGCATTTGAAAGAAATAAGAAAAGCTAGTTTATCTAGTGATTCGATGAGGCAAAGACTCACCAAAACTGTCAACGGCTGGCAGAGGGCCAGCGAATAGGAAGGCAGTAATTCAGGTTCTTCCCTTTCTTTCGGTAGTTCTTCAAATTCTCCCTAAAAGGCTGACCTACCCTCCTCTGAAACTCCCAAGGTACTCAGCATCAAGGCGAAAGCCAGTATCTCTGAAATAGTGACAAGACTTCGAGCCTCAAAATATTTTAAATGCATAAGAAAAAATTTTTAATTCTCTTGCAGAATGCCACACGCAAAGTGCAAGGGATATTGGTAGAAGAGCTCAGCTCATTTACCTGAGTCCTACTCCATCTCCCCCTTCAACCTTCTCAATTCTCATATGTTTTCCAATCCCATCTTGGAAGGAGAAAACAGAGAACAGAAAGGGAAGGAATAAACTTTTGATTTGGACCAAGTACCTCGATCGATTCATAATCAACATTTTTTCTCTGAAATTTATTATTTTTCAAATTGGTAAGGTAGATATTTCTCATTATCAGGTGTCAAGTGACAATTTAAGAAAAATAAAGCTTTCTGTATTAATGACTGAAGAATTCAGAATATTTTTTGTTTTGGTTAGCATTTTCTAATTTCATATCAAGATACCTGTCATGAGAGAACTCTTCACACTGCTTCCCTGAATAATTGTCCCTCCTCATCGTTCATTTACTGGGCTATCATATTAAAATAAGATATCAAATACTGGCATTTTCTTTGGGTGTATATGTTATACCACTTTTTATAAATCAGTATTGAGTAAGTTACAGCACATTCATGACTACTGCACTACCTGTTACGCCACTACTTAATAACAAAAAAAATAAAGCGTACTTCCAGTGATGTACCATCTGATCATCTCTACTGTTAAAAAAGAACAACAACTAACACGTATCAGTGTTACACAGGGAGTGCATTGTTAAAAACACTGCAGGCCATGTAACAGAACGGTATGACTTCGTGGGTGTAATGTTACACCCGATATGAGACTCCATCAACACTGCATCCATAATCCTTTGGCAGCATGCAAAAGAAAAAGGACAGCATTATAAGGCAAAGTCCTTTAGTATAAGAGGACAGGTTGCCAGAGCAGAACAGGAAGGAGAAACCACTGGGCAAACAACACGGGAGGCAAAGGAAAAGAGCGAGACCACAGGAACTAAAATAATAACAATAATAAGAATTTACCACTACTGAGAATGGGGTGTAAGTACAAACTCGGGCAGGGCATGGCTTCAAAACTCTAGTACATTAATTATTCAGTATTTTTCCAAACGTGGAAAATGTGGAATAATGCTTCTGTTTAAAAGATTTGGAAACTAACTCAGGTGATTCATGCATATAGCAGAAATAAAATTACTGTCACGTCTAATAATTTTCTGGCAACGTGATGACAGTAGGCCATGGCTGGATCCAGATGCCTAACAACTTCAGCCCAAGGCTGAAATGAAAACCCATGGCTTCACTGCATTAAAGCTACTGAATCCAGTAGAGGGCACCTTTCATTCCAGAAATAATCGTGTAAAGTACATGCATCTCTTCTGCTAGCAATGAACATACCCATATCCAAAGCAGAATTCAGAAGAAGTTAAAAGTGCACAACTACTCTACAAAACAATCAGAAAAAAATGGAAGATATATCTCTTTATGGCACACTGGTTAACAGTTTATTCTCTGTACCTTGAACACCAAAACCAGGTCTAGCTGCTTTGGATCTCCTAAAATTTCAAGGGTGAGTTTACATCAAGTCTCTGGTCATACGTAGCAGTGTTTCTCCTAAAATCTTGCCATACAAAAGTTTTGCTATGCGCAGGAAAACACCAAGAAATTCCAATTTTGAAACATCATCGAAAAAAGACAGGCAACACCAACAGCAAAAAAAGTAGGGAACTAATATTTTCTTGTCTGACTTCTTCCCTCTCCTTACTATGGGTTTTCTTCCTTGCGCTCTTATAAATTATTTTCAAGAGCTTTGTGACCTGTAAGAGCAAAATAGGCTGATGCCTTAAGCAATGATATTTTTACTACCTTTTTTTCTGGAACAAAGTAGTTCTTTTGTCATTAACAACAATTATTCCCTTCTAATATCCCAAATACGTGGTGCAGGACACGCTTCAGTAACAGGAAGGGGAGCATTGTTAATGAGTCCACTCACTGGAGCTCAATAACAAATATTTATCTTAAACTGTGACTGTAACTCAAATTTCTTGCATCTGCAGTGTGCAGAAGTGATAGAGCTTACTACTTTTTTCAACTGACAGCAGCAAAAAGCTTCTGACATTGTAATGATTTTGGTATAAAAGAGCTCATTTGTATGGGGCTCTACAGGCACTCATTTTTCAGTTTTGTAATCATGGCGATCATTTCAGTTCAGCTGTCCTGCTCTTTTTTAAAATCTCAGTATGCAGCAATATTTCAGATCTCTGGCTCTGGTTTATTACTGCACTAAATATTTCCAAAATATTTTCCAAAATACACGATGAATCCTGCAGAACTCATTAATTTCTCCTAAGTAACTATAAATGTACAGTGAGAAGATGACATTGAGCCACTCATATGCTTTAAGAAAAACCATCCCAGTCTAGCGGAGTTATAGACACTACACATCATGTGCAAAAGGTCCCTCGAAATTGTTCCTCCCCATCTTTTGGCACTAAACTGTCACTGTTTATCTTACCAAGGTCAAGTATTATCAGCTGGGCTCCAGCCTGTGCATTTCCAACATCATTTTCTGCAATGCACTGATAGAATCCCTCATCTGATTTCACCAGACCCAAAACTTGCAGATTATGTTCTTTCTGAGGAATAAAGGATAAATGCAACACTTAAAAAATGGGCTGCAATTGCAAAAACAATGGTGTTATCATGGCACATTACTATGACAGGAGAAAATTCGGAATAGTCATACACTAAAGCATACTTGGAGCTCCTGTCAGATATCATCTCTTTTTACACTGAATCCTCAGATTGTGCTGTATCAAAAAACACCGTAAGTTCTTACTAACAGATTATCATTTTTAGCATCACATTTCACTGGCAAGTCATAACATTCACATAGCCATTGTGATGATATTTTAAGCACTGAAAATAACTGAATCACTCACTGTTCAACCCTGCAGCCTCAGGTGCCCCCAGTTATACCATCAGTAAGTTCTAAACTATGTCTCCGAAATGACTACTTTCCCTGCATCTAAAGGTTCACAGTAGCAGGAGTGGCATGCCAAAATTCATGCCCCACAACTCCATTACATTTAAATTTGAATTCTTTTATGAAATTGTAATTTTCATCCATCACAGACGATGGCAGAAAACACACACAATCAGAGTTAGCGGAGAACTTGCTTTCTTAACAGGTTCAACCAAAAAACTGCCTTTCGTCATTGTATGTGTGCCCTCCCCCACCCCCCTGCAAAATCCAAGTATAAAGAAGTAGACTCACACAATATAAGCAACATGCCTTAGCGCTTCAATACAATGACTCAATTACAGAGCATTAAAGGATTCAAGAAGCCATTTAATCCTTCCAGGCCCCAAACTGTAAGAAGAGGAAGCGGGTCCTATAGCAGAACCCAGCTTCTATGCATACGCCTAAGAAGATTAAGCCACAGCTCAAGCGCTTAAAAAGTGCAAAACGGACAATAAACTTACAACAATTTTGAAGTAGTCGCTTGGGATCACCATGTCGCCATTCTTGACCCATTTCACCGTTGGAGTAGGTTTTCCTGTCACCTCACACTCAAACACAATGTCCATAGATTCGTGCGCATATATATTTGCAGGCCGCTTCAGAAACTCAGGAGGAACTTAAAACGGAAGAAAGAGAAAACATAACGTCAGCATCACCACAAGCGCAGCAGTTGTGCTCGTGCTCGGAAACACAGTAAGACTCAACACACGAAAAAGGGCTTCAGGTGCCGCAGCACAAACCGCAGCAACGCTGGCAGAAACTTTCAGCTCAGGGCTCGCAGAGCGCGCGCCTAGCTCACCGAGGCTCCTCTGGAAATATGCCTTAGCCAACAAGGACCACCAAGCCAAACAGAAGACACGTTTGTTCGAGCTTCTTTTACATCCTACCGGGGACAGGAAAAAACAAACCCAAAAAAACCAGCACGACCAAACAGTGCTGGTACATGCAGCACCCTGTTACTTCCAAATTACATTCGGGCCAGCTAAACAGGCAGGCGCTTTAACTTGAAATCGCCTCTTGGGAATACGTGGAAAACAAGAAATTGAACCAAGATGCAAAAAGCGTAAAGTAAAAAAGCGTTTTAAAATCCAGAGAGAGAGAGAGAGATACATATATATATATATATACACACACACACACATACATACATACATATATATATATATGTACACGCTACTTGGGAACAAGTCTTGCCACGGGGGAAGAGGCCGCTGCATTCGCTTCTGCGACGCAGGAGGCCGGGCGCCGCGCTCCAACGAGCCGAGAGCACGCCGCGCGGACGGCCAGGGTGCCAGAGATCATTCGCGACTCCTGCACTACCTCGCGGTTCATCTGAATAAAGCATTTAGTGCTTAACTGGGCAACATTTGTATGTGCCTCCAACCCAAAAAAAAAAAAGAAAGAATCCTGGGGGACAAGCTCCCCAGCCAGGCACTGAGAGGTTACACAGAAGCCCTCGCCCCTTCCTTTGGCAACGCTTGCTCGTTTATAAAGCGGGAATATTGTAAGTTAGATTTGCAATAAAAAAAAAGCAGGCGATGATGAAAATTGCTAAGCAAATATTTTTCAGTCATTTGCACTTGAAGTCCAGCTGGAGCTCCGCAGCACAAAGAGCTGGGGCTGTGCAGCCAGCCTACGCGATACAAAACAGTGTATCACGATCAGCAACTACTTATTTATATAGCCAAATTCTGCAGTCGATACAACAGAGGTTTTTCAAAGAGCGTTCTTTGTACTTAATATTTAAGGCAAAAGGCAACAAAAAGGAAAAACATCCAATACACTTTCACAAATAAACAGACACAAATCTAAACCAAAACGCTCTGGCAGGCCAGCCTGGGTTGCTAGGCTTCCCGCTGCCTTGCGCTGCTGTGAATAAACCGAGCACACCAGACAGACAGCACTGTACTCAGCCCAAGGTTTTCTTCTCTTCTTTTTTTTGGTTTGGGAACAGTCACGTTTTGACTGCAAGACTATTTTCCCTTCAGATGTCTATTCATAGTTTTTGGCATTTTAAAGAAATAAAACCTCCCAGGTTGAAACAAATTCTCCCCTCAAGAAACTCTATGCACAGAACCACATTCAGGAGTGTACCATATTGATAATGTATTGCAGACACGTAGGGTCAAAGACGTGTATTTCATAGCAAAGTAAAATATAGAGGTTCTTCATGAAAGAAGAACGTATTACTCGATAGGAGAAAATTTAACTTATTTCTGGGTATGCGGCTGAACCAAAATCACTGACGATACCAACAGACATACGGACAGTGTTGAAGATTGCTCTGTGCTTTGAAAAAATCAATTAAAAACCTCAGACTCTGAACACAGATACAGGGCCGTTTTGTTGATTCATGCTTGTGGACGGAATACATGGCTCTCATTAGCACCACTGAAGAAAGCTACAGAAAGGCTCGAGTTAAAGCAGAAATAGGCTGGCTCTGATAAGCACAGCAAAGGAGAACCACAGGTGGCCAAAGATGGTGAGAAATCTAAACTGTTATTCCAAAGGTCTATAAAGAGAGACACTTTTGGATTCTTTCAATATGCAATATCTCTATAATCATATCAGGGTACAAACTCTAGCTAATTGTGTATACCAAAGTTGCTATCTCCAGGTCTTCACTTCCTTTTAAAATGTCATTATTTACTCATAATAAGATTAATTAAAGATATTTAAAGTCCATAAAAATTCAAACATACAGAATTTCTTGGTAATACAATCCCCACAGCTAATATGTTTATATTTACAGTTATTTATGTTTATATTTAAAATACTTCTGCGAAAAACTGTGTCATTAAGCATCCAGCTGCCCCAAGGGCTCTAAGCTTCTGCAGCCTGTGGCAGCAAGAGGAGCTGCTTGCGGGAACATGCAATTTGAACATCCTCTATTACAAAGAACGTTCACCTATTTATTTGCTTTTAGTACACTCACCAACGTAAAGGCAATTTGCTTACTTACATTGGCAGACCTGATGGTTCAGGTTCCAGGAAAGTGAAAAGCGCCCTTTTGCCCTTTAACATTTACCAAAGAAAGTCAATAAGCAAGGGCTGCAGAGTTAGGCAAACATTTTACACACCTGACTTGTCAATAGGATTTATTTCATGCTAGCTGAATAAGGAATACTAGATCACGTTATACTCCTTCCAGTGAAATAATCCATTTTCCTACATATAAAGGTTTGTTTCTAGACAGATGCCTGGAGACAAGCAGCTCTCCACAAAAACTGACGCTTCAGATTAGACATGAAATAACTGAACATCAAAATATGGAAACATTTAGTTATGGAATAAGAAGATGAAATAACTCTCAGACACTTACGCAAACCTGTATCAGAAATTAATAAAGTTACAGTTACCTATTTACATCTCAAACCCTTTCACATAGGAGCAAAAGTCTGGACTCAACCAGCTGCGTTGAGTCCAGCTCCCTGTGATTTCAGACATCCATCTCATATAATCATTTCCATAAATTTACCATAAATGCCATCTTAAAACCCTTTAGACATTTTTGTACTACGTATTTGTATCAGATGGTTGTTCTAACCATAACTTCACACCTCTGACATTTAAAAACTGTTTTCTAAATTTATTTGCGACCAGTTTGTGGCTACTTATTTTTTTATGACAACGCTGCCTTCCATTTTAAATTTTTATTGCTCCCTGGCGTTGGTCCTCAGGTCTTGGCAGGGGGCTGCCCTTCTCCATTCCCACTCCATATCCCAGGCAGGCTCAGCAAGTCACGTGTGCTTAGGTTCTTCTGCCATGCCGAGTTACCCCCATCATCCTCGCAAACCATCTGTATTTGTTCTAGTTTGAACTCATCTTTGCAGCACGTAGAGTTTCAATTATTTGCGTGCAATTTCAGATGAGTCTCGCGAGCGACTTGAAAAATGACATAAATACTGTGTTATCTCTACAGCAAGTATCTCGCTCAATTCACACTACTGTCGCATTTGCCCTTTGCTAGATGTGTCGCACTGATCTCAGTAGCATCCTGAGATAAATGACTTCTTTCTCGTCTACAGCTATTCTTAATCAACGGGTAGGTTTGTCCTAGAGTCTGTTTTATCAATAATTCATGTTCCAATTTCCTTACAATCTCTCTCTCCACTTTTAAAGTGCTTATAGAGTTGCAAAAAGGAAACACAAAAATTAGAAACACGAAAAGTTAGCTTTTCCATGGAAGTAAAATGCTCCTCTTTTCATAATCTTCTTTATAGTCTGGTCTTTAATTCCTTAGCCATATATTAAATTTATCACAGAAACCCTAATTTCACAAGCTAATAACATTCACCACTAAAAGCACAAAACTTGTGAAAAAAATGGATCTGATCATGTCAGAATATATGCAAAGCATAAGGTATTATAACACCTGCTGTACCTTGCAGCTACCCCAGAAGACTCAAGGACTACAGAAGGGATATGTAAGAAAGTTCAATAAAATCAGTGGATCTTACTACAGAAAATTAGCTAGTGTAGGTTCAAGAAACTACTGCCAAAAATGTTAGCTACTTTATCATAACAATTATTATGATACAATTTATTTTTCAATGAACTACTTTTTTTTAAAAATTCAACTTTCCATTTAGGTCTGTGTTTGGTCAATAGTTATTTCTTTCAAAAGCATATTTAGACACCCTTTTATTCAGGAAAGGAGCATAAATATCACAGAAGACACACAGCTGACCTTTCCTCAATGGAAAGAAGCATCAGAAAGCGCAGGTCCCTACTCCCCAATATTGTTGCCCAATGGGCATCAACTGGGTATTACAGGAGGATACTATCACACATTCTTGCTGCTACACATTTCCAGTGGTGCTCCACAAACTTCCTGCTCTATATACCTTTACAGCAGTTGAGACTTCCCTCAGCACCCAACTTTTAGAAAAGGGACTTGATGATACCTAGCAGGTTTTAAAAGCGAACCCCAAAATTAAACAGCAGAAGAGGAAAACAGGCAAAGAGGTAGTTTGGATTGCCTGTCACTAATGTAAAAGGTATGTGTTGAGAGAGGGGTGGAGGGTGAGGAGGAGGGAGGATCACAGTAAGGCAACTGCTGGTACGATGGATGTCCATCGCATTTGAAACAAAAAATTAGTGGAATGCAGAGTTCTGGAATTACTCCTGTTTTTTCACTTCTAATGTTTAACTTGTAACAAAGACATTTGGATAATTACTCAAATGCCTCTAGCCACTGACATCACTCTAACCTGGGGCAGCTCCACAAGCGTGCATTAATACTGAATCACGAGATTTATCACGAAAGTGAAAGTTGAACTAGATAGTCTATTATCTGGATGTGATCCTGGGCAATATGCTCTAGAGGACCCTGCTTGAGTAGGGAGGTTGGACTAGATGACCTCCAGAGGTCCCTTCCAACCTAAACCATTCTGTGATTCTGTGATTAAGAATTTGAAACACGTTATTTCTTCAAAGTGATTTTGCTTTTCTTGCTTATGGAGAAAATGCCAAGCTGTTTACAATGGGATAACATGAGAAATGCACAGTTTATTATCATTTGCTTTCCAGTTAATGAATTAAAAAATGCTTTTAAAATGCACTTTTACAGTTTAGCTATGTCAATGTTCAGCATTCACACCGATTAACACAATG